TTATTATACTTCTAGAACACTTTAAAGCAAAATGTTCAAGAGTTTGTAGCTCTTCTGAACATCAGATATAGCTGCCTGTTTTTGATGGCTCTATGTATTTAAGGTGATATTCTAAAGAAAGAACTCTATGAAAAAAGGCACCAAAAAATATCTTTTTTCTTGTTGCATATAAATTTTAAAGAAAACCAAGTAGGTTGTATAGTCTGAAGTACAGAGTGAAGAGAGATAGGTGGTGGAGTAGCTTTTTTTAAGAGCTCTAAGATTTTTTTTACTAAGAGCTTATTTTCTTTCATTTTATTAACTATAATTTCTTTTTTGTCCTAAGGCCAATTAGTAGTAGAAAGGATTCTTCTTTTAGTTTTTGTCCAAGCTAGCAGATAGGATTTCTATTTTGTAAACTAAGCTTTTAAACATATATTATCTAAGTTTAGAGCCTGTAATAGAGAGATATTTCTTTTTTCTCTAAGCATTATGCTTATTTTGCTTCTTTTATATACTATCTATATTGAGTTTGAGGTAAAAAGTTTTAGCCAAACAAAAATTAAATATGCATCTAACATATCTTTAATAATTAAAACTTGAAGTTTTGCCAAGTCTACAGGCTGTTGAAAAGTAAAATATTTGAAAAGCATTTATAAAGAACCTTTGATTTAAAAAGAGATAATTCTATTTATTTCTGCTATTTGCTTTCTGTTAGAAGGTAGCAGATAGGCTAAGTACCAAATTTTGGAAAGAATAAGCAAATTTGTGATAAGAATTTTTCTTTTAAAAAAAAGATTTCTATTTGAAAGTTTGTCGAGTGATCCTTTTAGCTTATTAATAGTTGTAGCCTAAAGGTCTTTTTTTGGTTAACCATTTATAAAAACATCATATTCTAAAATAGTAATAGTATCTTGTTTCTCTAACTTAATGAACTGGTTCTTATTATAGAGCTCTACTTTTCATGCAGTAGAGGTAAGTAGGACTACTTTTGTTTTTGTTTTATTAATCTTTGTATTAGAAGCAGCCTTATATAAGCTTATCGAAACTTGTACCTTGTTTCAGTCAGAAGAAGATTCAATTCCTATAGTTAAGTTATCAGCATATGCAGTAGTTTTAAAATATTGGTTTTCCAATTTAATTTCTTGCATTTGTCTTTCCAGAGTTCTTATAAGAGGCTCGAAAGCTAATATATATAGCAGTGGTGAAAGAGAATCATCTTGTCTAACTCCTTTTTCAACTTTAAATAATTTAAAAATATTGCCTGCCATAATAATATAGGCTTTTTGGTAGGAAAAAAGACTATGAACCAGATTAATAAATTTAGGATCAAAGTTCATATTTTCTAAAGTGAGTTTTAGAAAGTTATAATTGACTTGGTCAAAAGTTTTTTGCTAGTTAACAAAAAGCAGCCAGTGTTGTTTGGATGAATCTGACTGGTTTCTCATAGTCATAATGATATCTAGTACTGCATCTGTAATAGACCTATTTTGAATAAATCCATGCTGCTGATGTGGTATAAGTTCTTCACAGATAGAATTTAGTTGATTAGTTATAATTTTCATGAAAATTTTTGTGTCATTGTTCACTAAAGATATAGGTTTTCAGTTATTTACATTTTTTATATCTGTTAATTTTTTAGATATTAGAAAGATCAGACTCTTGCACCAAGAGGTTGGCATGATTCCTGAGTTTAGTATTTGATTAAATACTTTGTATAAGATAGGAGTTATGATCTCTTTAATAAGTTTGTAAAACTCATATGTTAGACTATTGGTGCCTAAGGTTTTGTTAGTTAGAAGGTTTTTAATAATATTGCTAATTTTCTCTTGAGTAATTTCTTAGATGAGTGTTAAGTTATGAGCTAATGAGGCTTAAGGCAGATTTTCTGTAATTTTTTTAGCTGAATTAATATTTATATCTTCTTTTTTGTAAATTTTGGCATACATATCTCTGATATATTGAAGAGTATTTTTACATGATTGTGATAAGGTTTCAGGATTCTTAATGTTCTTTAAAGATAAATACACTTTTCTGATTTTATATCTAGTGAAAAAGTACTTTGTAGATTTTTTCTCCTACTTAATTCGTTGAGCTTTTGAGTGTATTTGCCATTTTTCTATAAAATGTGATAGTTTATCTTGATGGTTTAGGCTTAGTTTATCTATTTAATTGTATAAAAAAGACTTTTCTGAGTTGTAAGCTAGTTATTCCTTCAGTTGAGTTATATTTCTATTTAGCTTTGTAATCTTGTTTTTAGTAGCTTTTGGCTTTCTAAATGCTCTTATAATAGATTGAATATGGATTTTACAGAAGTTTTAGTTATTAGCTTCTTTAAGTTTTATGATTTCTTCTAGCATTTCTTTTTTCAGTTTTTCATTAAAAAAGCAGCTTTTATTGAATCTTTAAAGAGCTAACTCCTTTCTTTTGACTTTAAAAAGAAGGATGCATTCTACCAGAAGGTGGTCTGAGTTGCCAAATCTGGTATCAATTTGTGAGATAAGGTGAGCATTATTTTCATCAATGAAAATGTAGTTTAAGTGTATAGTTATTGTTCAACTGCTTTGTATTTTTTGAAAAAATATATAAAAAGGTCTTGTTTTGGCAAAATTTGAGGTGTCTATAAAATTTTAATAAGGCTTAAAAGTTATGTTCTTGTTGGGTCTTGTTAAGGAGCTGCTTTACTAGTTCTATTTTTTTCAGGATATAAATTAGTATTAAAGTTACCTCCAATTATGTAATAGCATTTTCATTGATTTGTGATAATTATTTCTCAAAAAAAAGTTTTCTATATTTGGATTAAGAGATGCCTATATATTGGATATTTGGAATATAAGATCTTTGAATTTGAAATTAGTAGTAATAATTCTGTTGTCTAAATCCATTTTTGTGTTTTTGAATATTAGATATTTGTTGTCTGTAAGTATAGCTATCTTGTTTGACCAAATAGAATTAAAAATCCATTGATTTTTAAGAAAGCTTTGTGTATTCTTATCATTTAAATTTGTTTTTTGTAATATAATAAGGTCTAGTTTGTAAGATTTTAAAAGAGTTAAAGTGTTTTATTGTTTTTGTTAATTGTTTAGCCCCTTTATATTAAGGCTTGCAATTTTAAATTTAAATTATTCAGTCATATTTATATAGAGTAATACAGATTTCAGATCTATAGATTCTGTGCTTCATTACAAGATTTCTTGTATGAAGCAGACCTAGTTGTTTCAATTTTCTAATTTGTAAGGTCTTTTTTACTTTTTTGTTTTTTTTTTCTTTTATAGAATTAAAGTGAATTCATCATCTGAGTTTTCTGGTTGGAGTTGTAGCTTGTTGTTATTTGTAATTAGCACAATTGAAGTGCTTAGAGCTTTTGGTTTTTCAATTTTCATTAAAGAATCTGTAGCTAGATTTTCCATAACAGAAGCTTTATAATTGACACTATTCATAACTTTATTGACTGAACAATTGAGATCTTTTTTTGCTAGTATAGTACTGTTTATTTAATTATTTTCTTGGCTAATTACTATATTTAGAAAGATTTCTTTTTGTTAAGGCACTTTAATATCTAGTTCTTTCAGAATGTTATTTTGTTTTTACTAAATTGCATTTATATTTTCTATATCTACTAATGAAAGTTTTTCTTTTCTTTTATTAGAGAGAAATTCTTTATATTAACAGTGAAGTTCAATAGCTTTCTTGTACAGACTGCAATCTTTTTTAATATGTTCATAATTGTCACAAAAGTAGCAAAGCTTAGAAGCTGCATACTATTTTGTAATAATCTTGTTGTCAAGCAATATATAAAATTGGAGAATTTTTTTTTTCTAAATCTAAGTCTTCTGTAATCTCAAAAGTAATGATCCACTGGTCAGTTAGATAAGATGTGCCTTCTATTAACAGTAGCTTAATTGAGACAATTTTACTAAAGTTTTTGAAAGCATTTTTGATTCTCTCTAAAATAAACTCTTTATCACCTAAAGGAACATTTCTGATCTTGACAGGCAAAAAAGATCTTCTGGAGTCAACTGGAATATGTTTATAATATGTATAATTATAAATTTCAACCCTTTTTATAGCATAGTGTTTGAGCTTTTCCTTATTGATAAAGATTAGTTTCAAATGAATATGAGATTCTCTATTTACATGTAGCTTAGCAGCAATTATGTTATGTCTTGCTGTCTTGTAGAGAGAAATCATAATTTCATTTAATAAACCATTAAGATTATGGATATTTAGTATAAGTGCATTATCATTTTGGATCTTATATTGTTTTTTGGTAAGAATAAAGAGAAGGTTGATTGCCCTCTCTTGACTTTTGTAAATAAACTTAATCATGATTTACTTGTAACTTCTTTGTTTTTGTTTATATCAGTTGTATTAGATTTTGCAAAAGATGTGTTGTTTTGTTCTATATAGGATGTTGTTGTTTTGTTTTTTTTATTATTTTGTTTTCTAGACATGTCTTAGAACTAAATATAATTATGTTGCTATTTTGATTTTCTTTTTTTTTGAGAAACCTTTTTTCATTTTCTAAAGTAATTTGTTTATTCTAGCTAATACTATCCAGAAAGTTGTCTTGCATAGAGGCAATTAAATCATTATAAGTAGTTTCAATTGCCATAGTATTCTTTTCAAAAAGAAAGTTAATTTCTATTTTTTTTTAGTTGTTTTTTTGTTGAAAAGCTTGTTGCCAGTTTAGTTTTTTTATTTCTGTAAACTTTGAAGATAAAAGTCTTGTACTTTTTAGAAACAAGAGAAAGAGTCTCTGTTCTGCTACTGTTTTTAAAATTAGTAAAGCTCTGAGTAGAGTTTATTTTGTTTTCTTTAAAATTATCATCTTTCCTAAATGCGATGATTAGAAGAGAGAGATTGTCAATATATTTATTTTTTTGAAAATTATATAATAAATAATACTTTTCTTATTACCAATATATAAATTTTTATCTTAATTTTTTTTTCTCTTGATTTTTTATGCACTAGTTTTTTTTTTCCAGTAATAATATTTTATTAATATACTTTAAATATAAATGCAATTATTGGTAATAAGGTACCTAAAGTTCAAAGTCATGTACAAAGAACTTCATACAAAGTATCTGAAAAACTTACTATAATTCATAAAGCAAGAAAAATTGGTGTTTTAGCTATATTATGTTACTTTGTTATTGATTAGTTAATAGTTTTACAGTGGATATCTAATGAAGAAAAGCTTAAAAATGCTAATTCAAATAATAAACATGTTGGTGCTAGAAAAGCTTTGTTTTATCTAGAGGCTAAAGAAGAACTTGTCAAATGGTTAAATGAACTTCATTTAGCTGAAATTGCTATAACTGCAAGTTTTATTAAAGTTCAGATAGTTAATATTCTTTTAATAATCTGTGCAAACAAATATTCAAATGCAGCTGAACAATTTCATGCTTCTAAATCTTGATTTACCAGTTTTTAAAAAGGCATCAACTTTCTTTATGTTGTTATACTAAGATTAGCCAAAAATTACTAAATGATCTTACTGAAAAAGTTATCAAATTTTATAAATTTATAATTTAATCCTGATTAAAATACTAGTATGATCTTTTTCAAATTGTTAATTTGAATAAAACATCTGTATTTATTGATATAACAGATTTTTATACAATTAACTCAAAAAGTGCTAAATTTGTTCAAATAAGAACAACTAGTAATAATAAAAACTGGTTTATATATATTTTAGCAATTACTGCAAGTAGTAATAAACTTCTTCCAATAATTATATTTAAAGGTATATAAACTCCTTCTGACTTACCATATAGAATTATTGTATATATGCAAAAAAAGCTTGAATGAATAAGAATTTAATATATGAATAGATTGACCAAGTTTGAAACAAATGAACTGAAGCATCAATTACTAACAGACCATTATCTTTGCTTGTAATAGACTCATTTAAAGAATATTTAACAGAATTAGTATGCCAAAAATGTCAAATTAATAATATTTACAAAGCTATTATTCTGGGAGGATTAATATCAATTGTACAACTATTAGATGTATATATTAATAAACTATTTAAAAATAGGTTAAAAGAAAAATATTACTTATAGATGAATAATAGTCAATTTTAATTAACAAAAAAAAAATTTAAAAAAACCTTCATATAGTTTAATTTGTCAATGGATTTTAGAAGCATGAGCTAATATTTCTGTAAAAATAGTTATTAAATCTTTTAAAAAATGTAGTATTTTTAATAAATTAGATGGTATTGTAAATAATTTATTATATAATTTAGATAAAGAAAATAATGATAATGAAGATTTAGCAGAAATAGTTGATAAAAATAGTTTTTCTGCAGAAGAATTGGATTTAAAAGATTAAATTTATTAGTTTTTTAGTTAATAAATTTGAATTAAAAAATTAATAAAATTTATTATTTTTTACTTTAATAATTTTTTAAAGAGGGTTGCTTATTTTATTTTCTTGGTATTTTTATTTTAAAATGTAAAGAATTGCTTATTTTGGAGGTTGCTTATTTTTAGAACTTTACAGTATTATCTTTTTTCTTCCTTTTTTTTTATTTTATGATTATTTTTTTACTTTTCTTATTTTTTTCAAAATATTATTAATACATTTTTTTAATTTAAATACATTTAAAACATTTTAAAAACTTTAGAAATATTTTGCAAATTATTAAAATGCCTAAAATTACCAAGAAACAATTGAAATCTAAACAAGTTTTTGCCAAATTGATTGCAGATTTATTATTACAAACAACTGAAGAAAGAGTAGAAGTATCTTCTATAAGGAATGATGTTTTGACATCTGTTAAAAGAGCAGCTGAAACTTCTAAGAATATAGAAGCAGCTAGTTCTGTTAGATGATCTCATAGAAGTGTTGAAAGAATTGCATATCCACCCAAAGATTATAAAATTACTATAAATATATTTTATATATTAAATTTATATGAATAACTTCAATGTTTTTATTTATTTTTTTATATAATTTAGAAAATTTTTTTTCAAAAATTTTCAAAAAGCTTACTAAATAATCTGAAAAAGTTAATAGAATTGAAAGACATCTAAATAAATTAGATAATAAAATTAATAAATCATATAATTTGTTAGCTAAAAATAATTTTATCAAAGTACTTAAAATTATTTTATTATATGTGAAATATTGCAATAAGTTTATTAATAAATTATGTTTTATCTTGAATGTTTAGCAATTAGTTAAAACAATAGCAAAGGAAGTAATTGAATATTTGATTTATCTTTCTAAAGAAGAATTATAAAAAGCAATTGAAGCTTGGATGTCTAAAAATCATCTAAAATATTATAGTTTAATGTCAGATAAAGTGTGAAAAACATATTATAATAAAAACATTACAAGACCAGTAAATATCATTTAATAATCTTTGAATAAATATGAATATATTCGAAAATTTTAAAATATTTTAAAAAAATTTGAAAACTAAAAATAATTTTATTTTGATATAATAAATTTAGCTTTTAAAACAGCACAGATCAATGTGAAGTGGCCTAACAACTTGTATTAAAGATGCAATATTTGCAGTATATAGCAAAAGCCAGTTAGATTTGATTAATACAAATGTGTCTTCTCAAGAAGTTGCTTTATAGAAAACTTTTACAGAAACAAGCAAAGTTATAGGAAGCTTTTTGATAAAATTAATATTTGAGATCCAAATTCTAAAACTTATATGCAAAAAATTTTATTTAAGATTTGGCTATCAGACTTAGTAACAAATAATAAAATTGCATACACTATAAGCATATGCCAAATAATGTTAAGTTCACATTATGAATAATTAATAACATTTAAAGACATTATTAAAAATTGGCTTAAGAAAATCTAATAAGATATTTTTATAAGCATTAAAATTTCTATAAGATTTAAATTATTTTAAAATTATTCGAAATGTTGTGCAATAATGTGCAAATTTTTGAATAGCTTTAATATCTTTAAATTAATTTAATTATTTAAAATGATTTGAATAATTTCTATTAAATAAATAAAATACAGAATTATTTAGAAAGAGTTTAGATTTTGTGCCACCTTCCAATAATGATTTAACATCAAGTAAAAATGAAGAAGAAGTGGTTAGCAAAGTAAGTATTAATTAATTTATTTCATAAATAGAATATTTTTTATTAATTGATTACAAACAGCAGGTAAAAGAAGAATGCAAACTCCTTTACAAACTTCTAAAAGAGTAATTATAATATTAATAACTTATATAATTATTTTCAATTTTTATTTTTATTTTTTTTTAATGTTAAGGTGAGTATATGTGATACAGGATTTTATTGGTAGTATCAGTTGGCCAGCATCTGTTGACATAATAGCACAGAAGCAATTATAAAAAAAGTGTACAACTAGTCACTCATACAACTTTAATTATTGTCTAATTTAAGTAGTCTGTCTAATAGTTCTACACTAGTTACTATACCTAAAACCCACTTGTAGAACCTCTATTTAAATACTCTAATTCCATATCTATCACATCTTATCAACAATTCTAGTAAACCAGTGAAGATATGCCATAATCACTAAGTTATATTTAACTTTGTACTAAACTTATCAATATGTTCTGTATTCTATACTTACAACTTACTCAGTTATGCTTTGGCCTAAACCATTACTTGCAGTCAGAGCTAATTATTAAACTGCTTTTACTCTTGTAAGGTTCACCCAAAATCCCAGTACCTATCTTTCTAATGTCCTCTCTATTATCCTCTACTAACTGCTACTTAGGACTGACAGAACTCTCTAAATTTCAATTCAGATAACCTAGTATGGTATATCTAAGTATCTTTTTCCTCTAGTGATTCCAGCAGTCTGGTTGGTCATATGCTTCTTTATACATCTTGTCATCTGGTTTATCTGTCTATTTTTTTAGGAGTGTTTTATAGACTTCTATCAGTCTAATAGCATCATTAAAAGTTTTGTACTACCTCTTTACTTAGGATTTCTAAGTGAGTTTTGACTTTTCAGTTCCTTCATTTTCCACACCTAGTAGTCTTATCATGGGTTTGCACTAAAGTCTTATGCAACACTGGTTATATATTTCTTTATGTAAATGTAATATTATACTTAGTATAGATGTTCTGAGCTTCTATTCGAGATAATGCAACTGAAGGTTACAAATACACAAATCCAACTAATCAACAGACATAGTTACTGTAACATAAACCTATTTTTTAAAATTCATCATTCATAAAATTTGAACTCTAGATCTGCTATTTGGAGGTTAACAACCTGACCACTTTACTAGGTTGCCATACCTCTTTAATTTTTATTTTTATAAAAACTTTATTATTACTTTATTATTTTTTTATTATTACTTTATTATTTAGGTTTCTAAAAGAGTTAGAACTACACAAACTTCTCCAAAAACTCTGATCATTATCACAACTCTAACTGGGACTCAAACAGTTATTAAGTTTTAAACTAGAACAGAGCCTTAGGCTAGTACTGAGCCTTAGACTAGAACTTTGTTACAGTTAAGTGCAGAGCTACTAGCTAGGACATTGTTTTAATTAAGGAGGAAGTCTATAATAGGAAATATAACAAATTTAGAAGAAATTAAAGATCCACAAAAAGGATCTTCAAAAAATTGAAATTTTTATATTTTCTTTTTTTTATTTTTTATTTAATATTTTTATATATTATATTTTAGATTTTTTTGTTTTATTTTTATATCTTTATCTTTTATATTTTTAATAAATACAATCAGTTTTATTTGTAATTATAACTTTAAATTTTATAATTAAATATAATAAAAATAACTGAATACTTTAGAATAATTTTAAAATATTTAAGCATATAAGAGTAAGTCAGTAGAAAAAAAAACAAATTTTTCTAAGTAAAAGTTTTTTTGACTTTAAACTTAAATATCTTAACAACTATTTTATTAAATTTGATAATTTTTTTTTTATTTTAATTCTATATAATTTCAAGATTAAAATAAAAAATTTTTTAGCAAATTTGATTAAATAGTTGTTGAGTTATTTAAATTTAAAAATTTTAAAAATTTTACTAAAAATAATTTGTTTTTTTTCTACTAACTCACTCTTATATTTCAAATAATTTTACATTACTTTGAATTATTTTAAATCATTTTAAAATATTTTAAATTATTTTGAAATTTCTTAAAGTATTTCTAAGTATTTCAAATATTTTAAAATTTATTTGTTAAATATATATCTAAGATTTTTTATATTATTAACTATTATTAATGTATTTTAAATAGTATTGCTAAATTTTGCTTACTTTCTGCAAATCTATTGCACAAAAATTAACTAAAAAATTTGTTCATCAAAAAATACTTATAACTATTTATTTTACTAAAACAATCTGTCTTGGGATTCTAAGTAAACTTGTTCAGCTCACTATTTTACATATATTTTGTAAATATCAAGTTTTTATATCTTACACTTATTAAGAAAACTGTACTGACAGCCTTTGGTCTCCAGTTAACAATTTTTAAATATCTCGCAGTTTCTACTGCCTTAATCTGTTCTATACTCTTAAGTTAAGTTGTAATATACATTTATCTAATCAAAACAAGCTCTAAATGAAGATTTTTGATCTAATATTGACCAAACTACAACTAAATTCAATATTTACATTTTTGTAAAACTTCTTTTTTTATCTTTTGTCTCTACTCTGTTTCCTTTTTCCCTTATATAGTTTTCATATAATTATATAATCATTTCTTAATCTATACATTATTAATTTACATTAATATTTCATAACCAACCTATTAATAGAAACCCATTCATACAATTAAGTACTTCTATATTTAGTTCTTATTAATATTATACAGTAATTTGTATTGCAAATCCTACTTGTGTTCAGTATCTGTGTCATATTAGTAACTCTATCCATCTTTGTTACACTTTTGTGTCATTCTAGTAACACCCCTAAACTACAACTCTTGTATCTATTTACAACCTTTATAAATTTAATTATTTACAACTATATTCTCTCTTTAGAAAACATACCTAAGTCTAAAATCTTTACTTAGCTTATTATTTTTTAACAATGCCTATCTTAAGTTAACAAGAACCAGATATAGCAGATCTTGATTATTTCTACCAAAGCTTTTCCAACAGTTTTGGAATGCCTTCTATGAAGAGGATAACAATAACAAGGCTTGCTCAATTCCTTTCAAAATTCAATCTACTTTTTGCTTAACAAAAAATCTTCAATCAAATAAAATTACTCATTTCTTTAAAGCTCCTACCTTTACCTCTGTAATTACTTGCCTCTGTGGCAAATACCATATCAAATTTATTTCAACCTCAAATACCAATTATATTCAAGCTACTGAATTTACAACTGCTCATATCAATAGC